TCATATTATTGCATATGATGATATATGTCCTTAGAATGGTAGAATCGTGACGAGGGTTCAAGTGTTTCAAATCTTGACAGTGAGAACCCTATGAGCACATATGGTGGCCATTCTAGAAACGCCATAGCCCCAGTATTATTCTAAGTAAGGGCACAGATTACGGTAAGGCATCATGTGTTGAACGACTCTATCGAAAGGCAGTGACTGATCTCACTTGTCGAGGTTGTTTGGTGACAACCTGGTGCAACACAGGTGCTTGCTGTAGGCGAATACCCCAAGTTCACTGGACTGACCTACTAGGTTCCATATGGATGGTAACCCCAGTGTTTATGGAACAAATCCTCTAACGAATGGTGGTGCATGTGATCCTTAGACTTGAGATCACTAGCGCCTGTGCACCATTGGTGCATTTGACACTAGCCTAACACAGTTCTATTCAGAGCTATCAATACAGTGGTGATTGGCTGCATCAAGGAGTGTATCAACTATGGTGGATTGACAGAGGATTCATCACTCCCGGTATGGGAGAGTTATCTCACGGTGCAATTTAATATATGACAATGACACTAAGATTGTGGCCACATGGGATTGAGTTGTTGCTCTATCCGGTTTATAATACAGGTCATTGGTCTAGAACTGAATACATAATATCGAGAGTAACTGGAGGTTGCACTATTTCTATGCCTTCGTCTCGTAGAGATAATGCATGATGAAAGGATCAAATTGTACGGTAACCATATCGTTGACAGGTAGCTACTTGCTGAATCTGAATCTATCGAGTGGCCATGATGCCTTGCTAGGGGCCAATCTTGTTCTGTGTATTAGTGAGACGATTATGGTGTTAATCACGATATTACACTACCGGTATGATGAGGAGCCTATGGTCACACACATAGAAGATTTAAGAGCCAAGAGAAAGAAGGGCGTTTTTGTCTTTTGGGCGAAAGGGTATTTTGGTAATTTCACAGTGCAATTAAATTTGCTGAGGTCGTAGCCTTTATTTATTTGTTAGAAAAATTAAATAAGTGAAATTACGTTTAAATATGTGTTCACATATATTTAATTAAATCACATTATTGTTAAATGTTAATTAAATATTAATTGATTTTAATTGAGATAATGATGAAATATAAATAAATTCTAATGGGGTGTTTGGGTTGGAGCCCAAGCACATTCCATGTGGGAATAGACAACTTAGTTTGCCTATAAAGAGATGTGTGTGTGAAATTAAAAAAGAGATTTTTATTAGTTCATTTGATTAAAAGAAAACACACAACAAAACACTCTCTCCCACGCCACTTTCACTGTTTGATTGAAAAATCAAATATTTCTTTTTCTTCTTGATTTCTTAAGGTTAAGGAGGATCTAACAAATCCCTTTGGTTCCTGGTGATTGTCTTCATGTGGACTTCTTGGTTCGATCCTACACTTGGATCGGTAGCAAACACGTTTAAAGACAATATGGTGGAGCCTCCAACGTGGGTATGAATCTAAGCTTTAGATTTACTTTTCTGTAATCGTGTGAATACATAAACTGTAAAATTTGTGCCTTGATTTTGGGTTCTAAGGAACGATCCATCGTTGTAAAAATTTTTGTTTTCTGCTACGCAACCGAATCGTTTCCTAACAAGAACAACCCCTAACCCACTCCATGAGGCACCATCTCAATGATAAATCTCTTAGCAAAATCTGGCATTGCCAACAACCGGTACTGATGTCATGATCTGCTTAAGTTCATCAAAGGCTTTTTGTGCTTCAGGATTCCATCGAATGCTCTTTCTTAAGTAAACTGTAAGAGGAATGGCTATTTTCCCATAATCTTTGACAAATCATCAGTAGTATCCCGTCAAACAAAGAAATCCACGTAATACCCTATATCCTTAGGAACCGCCACTGCAAAATACTGTCGATTTTGGAAGAATCAACTGCCACCCTATCTGCTGAAATGATATGCCCAAGTATTCTATTTTTATTGTCTGAAGAAACATTTCTTTTTATTGCAACCAATTGGTGTTCTTCAAGTGTGCTAAGGGTGATCTCCAATGCCAAATATGATCTTCTCTTGTATGGCTGTAAACCAAGATATCGTCAAAGAAAACAAATGAACCGCCGCAGAAAGGCCAAAATATGTTTTTCATCAAGGCTTGAAAAGTGGCTGGGGCATTGGTCAGCCGAATGGCATGACTAAAATCATAATGCCCTTCATGTGTTTTAAATTTCGTTTTGTGGTATCCTCATTCTTAACTCTAATCTGATGGTAGCCCGACTTCAAATCCAGCCTTGAAAAAATTGAGGCTCCTCAAATAATTCATGCACCATTAGAATGGGGAACTTATTCGGGACCGTTATCTTGTTTAGAGCCTTGTAATCACACAGAATCTCCATCCGCTGTCTTCTTTTCAACCAATAACATTGGGTTGGAAAAGGGACTAAGGCTGGGTTTAATGATTTCGGAAGCTAACATCTCGCCTACCAGTTTCTCTATTTCATTTTTTTGGTAGTAGGATAGCGATAAGGTCTAATGTTGGGGGTTGGGATCTAGGAATGAGGCTAATGGAATGATCTTGGGTTCTAGGCGGCTGTAATCCTAATAACGAAGTAAAGACTGACTAAAACTGATTAAGAACTGATAAGATGTTGTTATCCCCCTCAAATCTAACCTCAAATTGCTTCTGTAAATTACCAAACTCTACAAAATACCCATGTCCCTCACGATGGATTCTGTAGGAAACGTCCATGTACGCAGTAGAAAACAAAAAAATCAGTCATATACAAGGATCATTCCCATAGAGCCAAGTCAAAGGTATAATTTTACAGTTTATATTAAAGAAGAAATCTGTAGAAGAATTAACCATGAGTTTAGAAAAACTACGCACGTTTGGAGGCTCCTCCAAATTTGTCAATGAACGTTTTTTGCTACCAACCCAGTGTAGGATCGAACCCATGTAGTCCACACGATGACAATCACAAAGAACTAAGGAGGGATTTGCTGGTCTTCTTAGCTTTAAGATTAAAGAAGAAAAATCAAAGGAATTGATTTTGGGCAAAAAAATACTGTCGTGGGAAAGAGTTTGGGGCTTGTGTATTTCTCTTTTACAATGAAATGAACTAAATGAAAAATCACATTTCTTTCAATGAACACTTTTCTTTTATAGTGTTACTTTAATGCCCTATTCCCATATGAAATAGCTTGGGCTTCAACCCAAATGCCTCATGTTACCAAACACTCCCAATAGATATTTTATTTTGTTCTCAATTATCTCAATTAAAATCAATTAATATATATTTAATCTATATATTAACATTTAACAATAATGATGATTAATTAAATATATGCGAACACATATTTAAACGTAATTTCCCTTATTTAATTTTTCTAATAAATTAAATAAGGCTACAACCTCAGTAAATTTAATTACACTGTGAAATTACCAAAATACCCTTTCACCAAAAGACGAAAACGCCCTTCTTTCTTCCTTAGTCTTAAATTATTCTATGAGTGTGACCCATAGGCTCCTCATCATACCGGCAGTGTATAGTATCGCGATAAACACCAATTAATCGTCTCACTAATACACACCAAGATTAGCCCCTAGCAAGGCATCATGGCCACCCTATATATCGGATTCAGCAAAGTAACTACCTGTCAAGATATTACCGTACAATTCGATCCTTTCATCATACGTTATCTCGACTAGACAAAGGCATAGAAATAGTGCAACCTTCGGTTACTCTCGATATTATGTTTCATTTTCTGGACCAATGACCTGTATTATATCCAATAAAGCAACAACTCAATCCCCTGTGGCCATAGTTTTAGTGTCATTCCATATACTGAATTGCGCCGTGAGATAACTTCTCCCGTACCTGGGAGTGATGAATCCTCTATCTATCCACCATAGTCTTGATACACTCCTTGATGCAGCCAATCACCACCGTATTGACAGCTGTATAGAACTCATTAGCTAGTGTCAAACTACACCAATCGGTGCACAAGCGCTCCGGTGATCTCAAGTCTAAAGATACATCACCACCATTCGTTAGAGGATTTTTTTTCATAGGCACTCGGGTTACCATCCATAGGATCCTCTAGTGCGTCTATCTAGTGAACTTGCTGTGGTATATTCGCCTACAACAAGCACCCATGTGTTGCACCTAGGTTGTCACCAAACACCTTGACAAGTGAGATCAGTCACTAGCTTTTGACTGGTCGTTACACCCTATGATAGCCTTACCGTATTATCTATGCCCTTACTTCAGATAATATTGAGGCTATGGACGTTTCTAGAATGGCCACCTATGTGCTCATAGGGTTCTCATTATCAAGATTTAAACACTTGATACCCTCGTCACGGTCTACCATTCTAAGGACATATATCAATACATATTGCAATAGTATGATTTACGCTAATAGAATAAAATGTCTTTTATTGATTAATGAACATTATTACAAAGAGTCATTCTACAATAATTGATTGACTCTAGGGTATCTACTCTAACGGATCGTCCTAAGCATAGCTTTTAATGAAATCAGGGTCTTGCTTAAGGCGGGATCACCCATAATCTTCACTCCTCTGTCTCCTAACTAAATTTCATCACTTGTGTCTTCCAATCGACTATTGTCTCCCCTAAAGTTTCCAACCAAGCAATTCCCAGAACTACATCCGCACTGTTCATCTGAATGGGATTTTTTTTTTTTGTTTTGTGTAATTGGAGCTCCTTGACATCCAATTGCACATCCCTACATCCTCCTTACACCGCACTCTATAACCGTCACTAACTCTCACTCCAAATGTCTGGTCTGCATCACTGTCCCCAATTTTCTATCACGCCCTTGCTAATAAAATTGTGTGAAGCTCCCACTATCAATCAACACTATCACTTCACCGCCTCTTTTTACCCTTCAATTTCATAGTTTTCGGACCCGAATACCAACAATAGAACTAATCGAAACCTCTGCATCATTTTGCAATTGTTCTGCGACAAATTAACTTAACTCACCTCCACTATTGTTCGTCTCATCCTGGGTGTCCTCCTCATCAATCAGAATGATGTGACTATTTGTCCTCACATGATGGCTTGGAAAGAACTTTGCATCACACCGAAAAACATATCCCATGCGCCCTTTTCTCTAAATCTCAAGTTAAGTCATCTGTTTAAAAGGAACTCTCTCCTAAAATTTGAATTGGTCAGTGGTCATTGAATGGAATTGTTGCTGCCGTGTTGGCTGTCGCTCGAAACGACATTGAGATGTCGATAGTTCCAATTTTGGCTTGTTTGCGCATTGAAATTGGATTTGTATTTGTATTTGCGCCTGCCTGAAGTTGCCATTGGGTTGTCACATATGAGTTTTTTATCCATTTTCACTTTGCCCAAATTTTTACCCGCCCACTATTATTGTCCAACCCCTATTAACTCCACCTACTCCTTCGGGCCTTACACCCCTACTTAGCGCATTCTTCAATTTATCCAAAGCCTAATTTTTTTCTCTATTTCTAGGCCAATTCAATCAGTTGAATTAGTGAATTGGGCTGTCCCAACCTGACTTCTACTTTAATTTCTGGCTTGAGCCCATTTAGGAGGTAGCCCAAAGTATGCCTTCTTTCTCATCTCGTAATGGTGCCAACAATGCTTCACAATTATAGTGGTAATCTTCCATAGAGCCAGTCTGTTGGATTCCCATCAACGCCTCATACGGTCCTCCCTCTTGGGATCTACCAAATCGATGAAGTAGGGAAAGTTTAAATGTAGGCAGGATGCTACGGGAGCATGAATTTCCATCCATTGAAACCAATTATTGCATCTCCCTCCATACACACCGCCATTATGTTCAATCGTTCTCTTTTCGCCATGTCATACACATTAAGTATCGTTCGATCCTAAATAACCACCATAAGGATCCTCACCCATGAATATCGACATTTCAATTTTCCAGCCAACAAATTCTGGTCGACTTCGCCTGTTACTATGTGTTCACCATTCGTATTGGATTAGGTTCATCATTCTCTTCCCTTAGGTTTGGATTCAGATTACAAGTATTTCCATCGACCCACTGCTTTCAACTCTCTTGGCTTCTTCGTCGTCTTTGCGTCTAATCCAAGCTTGGATTTCCAACAACATTCCCTCATCGTTCCCATGTCTTTCTCCATAATTCTAATATGTTTTCCATCCTTGTTCCAACCATACCCCGATTGTCACTACGCTCTGTACCCACTGATAGAAACCTCTTCTATCTCAACTTGTAAAACCACACATGCCCCCAATTTCCCAGAATTCCCAGTCACCTCAACAACAATGTTAGACGAAACACTCTCAACCAGAACTTCACTGAAATACCTTCACTGTATTATTATGAATATTCAAACACAACACAAGTTCGATCATCAACAAGAACTACACAAATAACAAACCAAAAAATGAACAGCAAATTGACAATAAGAAAATAAAGAAAAGATAACCAGCTGGCTTCAAGGGCCAGCACCTCCCCAACCCAAATTCCCTTTTTACTTTTTCGATATCCCGAACATTCCCTGTCAACCTTTTTACGCTCAATTCCCATTCTAACAAAATTTCTTTACTCCCAATTCGTAGATGCCACCTGTCCATTGCTTTACACCAGTAAAATGCTATTTAGGACCGTCCTCGCTTGGTAAATCCTGCCCCCATCTCTATCACCTCTTATTTTTCCTACTAAAGATGTGCACTAAAGGGTCTTATCAGTATACATTGCTAGTGTCACTCTTCACATTTCTGTACATAATGTTCAACTTTTATATTTATTTTCAGGTGTAAATTTTATTTCATATTTAATGTTGAATTCCTTATTTTTTCAGTTTCTTATAATTATATAAGTTTCTCTTTGTAGGTAAACTTTGTTCTTTTTACTAAATTAGCATCTATTAATTAAAAATGTTATTTTATGGGAACATAGCAACGACAAAGAGAATTTTTTTATGAAAACGGTCAATGTACTCATTTTATTTATTTTTTATTTTTTTTCAGCAAGAATTAATGGTAGGCAGAAAGAAAAGTATGGGATGTTTTAAAAATTTTCTTTCGCATGACTTTGCTGGCGCAAAATCCACCTAAATCTTTCAAAGAATTCACAGTGTTGAAATTCGTTATGGGAACTAATCAGTTCTTTCAGGCTATGTTTATTTAGATGGCAATGAGAATTAGAAAGAAATGGGAATAAGAAAGGAGTACAGATGGAATGAATTCCATTATTTAAGGAATAGGGATTTCTTCTTCTCTTGGTTAAGAAGCAAGGAAACAAGGAATCAGCATTCCTTTACTATTCCCTTGTGTTTTACTCCTAGTAAACAGTTAGTTAGAGTTTATATTGTAATCCCTTATAGGCTATTCATTCAAGCAATAACATAAAAAAATTCAAATGTTGAGTCTACTAAACACTTTGCAGCTCAACAGATGCACCACAACAGAATGAATATTTCACAGCTATTGTATACAATTTTAATTTAGGAGTTTTCTAGCCTAGTTATTATTTTCCTATTACGAGAAGGTTGGTTTTCTAATTGCCGAATCTTCTTGATTTCTTTTTAGTCTTTTCCTGTAAGAGAAATCCCTTTTTCTATTTATTTCTGACTTCTTTTATTATTTAGTAAGATGAATCACTGAAGAAATTGAGTCTGTATTCCTTAACTCTTACTATCTTCATTTTCTTCAATATGTATAGATAGATGCAAGCAAATATATTGACCAGCGATCGAAAAAGTCACGATGTGATTTTCATGTAAAAGAATGTTATTCAGTTACAATTTTTTAGGCTAATTAATTATACGTATCTCCAATGCAATCATATACACAATTATAGCAACAAACATGCGCAACTTATGATTTAATAAATGGCAAGCACTTGATCAACTCTATATTATATTGATCACAAACACAATTATGGTCGCAAACACACCCAACTAGGTGCATTTGTTTTAGTATTTTTGAAAAAGTAAGAGCTGGGTGGTTATTACAATGTAGGATTTAAAAATTAACAAAAACACCCTCTTAGGTTTGTTAATTTACTAAACACCCATAATAAAACATTAAAAATTAACAAAAACACCTATGCCCATCCATTAAATACCGGCAGTCGGCCACCACTGTCGAAGGGTGGCCAGAGTTGCCATATCGGCTCAAGATCGGCTGGATTTGGACGGTTGTGCATAGATCTACGCTAGATCCAGCCATTAATGACCAAATCTAGCCACATTGGGTCGTCAACAACAATCATATCTTGGCTGTCGTCGACGACTAGCTATGGCCAAAGACGACCAAATCTTTGGCCGTAGATCTGGTCTTTTCCAGCCAGATCCATGGTGTATCTGTCCGAAAAAGGCTAGATCGGCACATTACTAGACAGATCCAGCTGGTTGTGAGCTATTATATTAGATTCCAACCACCTTATGATGGTGGTGGCCAGAATCTGGCAAATATGGGTGGGTGGGTGGGGGTGTTTTTGTCAATTTTTAAACTTTTTTGGGGAGTGTTTAGTTAAATTAACAAACTTAAGGGGTTTGAAAATCATTAAATATAATATAATAGTATTTTCAGAATAGAGAAACAAATGTGTATTTTGGAAATGATAAGAATATGATAGGATAAAAATAGGGAAACAAATGCACCTATAATATTATTGTTTAATAAATTCCATTACACAATCTTTAACAACTAAACTCCAATACATTCATAAACGTAATTATAATTTACAACAAATACAGTATTTATCAATTACTACTTGGCTCAAAAATTTAATTTGATAAATTACTCTAAACAATAGCATAGAATAAATTATATATGTTTTTTTTTTAAATTTAGCTGGTGACAACTTTAATCGGGATATGGGTATACATTAGTTAGTGTCACTCTTTAACATGTCTATACATAATGTTCAACTTTTATATTTATTTTCAGGGGTAAATTAACTTTCAAGTGTAAATATTATTTCATATTTAATGTTGAACTCTAAAAGTTTATAACTAATCTAGTTCATTAAACTCCTGCGGAAAAAGTTGATTGAGTTCATTAGTGCTTGTGGGATGGCCATTCATCATCAACACAATACCAATCATCAATGACAAAGTAATGCACATAAAGATTTTTACATGGTTCAACTAACATCAATGGGACCAATTCCATATGAAGCAAATCCACTGTAGCAAACAAAGCTGAAATTAAGTAAATGAATGTAAAACACTCCCTGTTTCACAACACTCTAACTCCAACCTTTGGTTGCTCCAATGTTCTGCTACAACTTGCTTGAGTCCAAAAAACCTCCAGGACAGCTTGAGCTCCACTCAAGCTTCAAGGCTGAAGTCAACTTTCAGCTCCACAACTTGAACTCCCTTCAAGCTTTCATCAAATGAACCATGTTCCAACAAACACTCAACAACAAACCATAAGAAAAGTATTTTGAGTATTAAACCATTTAAGGAACCTGATCAAAGAATATATAAACTCTGTAAGAACTTTCAGAGAGCAAAATGGAATATTCAGGTTACAGAAAATTGCAAGGACTAAGAATATGTTATATAATCCTTGCTCAACAAATGCTTAGACAGCCAGTCGACAAAGGCTTACACATGTTGGGCTATTTTAGGAAAGTTTTCGACAATTTTGTTGGACCACATCTGAAAAAGGTAACCTTTCTAGACCACTTCTGAAATCTCAGGCACCTGTATCTGGACCACTTATGCATATTTTAGAACTGGAAAATATCCCAACGACCAATGAAAACTCGACACATGTACTAAAGGGTCTGACTAGAAAAATGTTTGCACATCTAACTCTAATATGCCCACATATTTGCAATAAATTCAAACTAAGGAAATGTGCACACATTTATGTAGATGCTACGACATGTGTAAACTATAGACACGATTGTACTTAAACTAAAAAATTGTGCAAACATCATAAATGAATGTGCACACATAACTTCATAAGTTGGCAAAAAAAAAAAAAACTTACAAATTCCTTATTTTTCAGTTGCTTATAATTATATAGCTCTCTTTGTAGGTAAACTATGTTCTTTTTGACTAAATTAGCTTTTATAAATTAAAAACGTTATTTTATGGGAACACAGCAGACTTTAGAATTTCAAACAAC